AGCAGGAAAATGGGTTGAGCTACCAATTACAAAATCTCCAAAGATCATACATTTCTCAGTTGGACACGATGGCTCTCATGCCCTTTTAGTTGCAGAAGATGGAAGTATATTCTTTACTGGATCTGCAAGTAAAGGAGAAGATGGAGAGTCAAGTAAGTTGACTGACCAACTGGACATTCAGTAAAAATAGGGTGGAACTTATTAACGTAAGGTATATCAGTTTCAACAGCACTAACCTCACCAAGTTAATAGAGGATTTTACATTGGGACATATTCAGTTAATGGTGGTGGTGTACTGTTCCTTAAAGAACTGTGATTGCTGATTTGATTCTAGAGTTCATATTCATGAATTTTTATATGCTTTATGGATAAGTGGCTAGTCATCTGTTTTATCAGTTGGTGTTATTTTTAAAAACTTATTTATTCCAATATGTTATTTTAGGTTACTCAAAATTTTGGAAGGAATATATTTTTCAGAATGAAGTAAACCTTATGGAACCTTATGTAATGATGCCAGTTATGGATCACTGTTCTTGGTGTTATTTCTCTATGATGAAAGCAAACATTCCTTAGCAATGAAAAATAAAACATTTGTTTATCTCTCATCTTTCCTATACTTCTGTTAAGTCTTCCTCAAAATATTGTGTTTTTTCTTTTTGTAACTTCTCATATACTTTATACATCGGAGCACAGTGGGGTAGCATCTTATGCGATTAGGTTTGAAGTCAACATCTAATGTAAAAATCATGTATAAATAAAAGTTACCTGAAAGAAATCCCATAAAATAACCATGAAGTGTTTTAGCACATTTCAGAAACTTCAGCACAGCCAGTTTTTCCTTCTAGTATTCAAGAACATTGTTCTTTCTTTGCTTGATTACCAGATAACATAGTTACTATATATATGTAAAGAATATATCTATAAATCATGTTACATGAAAAATTATAATGGTATTTTAAGTTCCAGAGTTATACCCAGCACAGCAGTATGTTTTTATTCTGAAAAGTATGCAAGAACTGGGATGAACTAAAGGAACAGAAGGTCGATATTTCCTATCTTTTGCCATGCCAGAGATTTAGCTTTTGAGAGTAGGGGCTGCTTGAATCATCCACATTTAAATTTATTCACTCTCCCTTCATGAGTATATTTTCCTTCATTACAATTTCTCATCGACTAGCTGTATCTACTTAATACATATGTGTTGAATGAATGAAGAATGGATTTTACTTTTCACGTTCTAGCATAAGAATACATTAAATAAGAGCTGTGTCATTTCAACTGACAGTGTAACCACACACACACATACACACACATATACATATATACATATACACACACACACATATATGTGTATATGTGTGTATATGTATATATATGAATATGGAATAGTGTTGATAATGTAAATAGCTAATCTAGAGATTGGGCTCCCGGAAATTTGTTAGAAAATTGGTGTTTTCCATTGTGAATTTTAATATGCTACCAAGAAGTGGATCTGACAGTGATAGCCTGAATATTAATTAACCAGATGAAGCTTTCATATTTACTCATTTTAATTGACATGTTGGGAAGCCCAGGTCTTTGTGAGAATGAATGAATGAATGAATGAATGAATGAATCATAAATGCAAATAATATGTTTTTTTCTTGGGCTTTATATACAAACCATTGTTTTTATTGGTGCATAGATGCCTTAATTTAATTTAATTTAATTTAATTTTGTTTAAGCTAAGAGCAGACGACAGTCAAAGCCCTATAAACCTAAAAAGATAATTAAGATGGAAGGAAAGATCGTCGTGTATACAGCCTGCAATAATGGAAGTAGTTCTGTTATTTCTAAAGATGGAGAGCTATACATGTTTGGAAAAGATGCCATTTACTCTGATAGCTCAAGTAAGTTAAACATTTCACTGTTATGTAAAGAAAGTCCAGTACTAGACATTATGTGTTGCAAAGATATGTCTAGAAAATTAACATTTGTAGCATGCCTTCTCTACATTTTTGACATTTCTTTCCTGTCTTATTGTGGAGACTGCTGTCACTAGTTTCATGCAGAGCTAATTATGGGGTTTACTTGGCTAGTGCAGCTCTTTAGCTATACTTTCTCTGGAAAGCTTTCCCTAGACCCGGTTAGATGCTCATGTGACAGCTTCCTGGTAGTTCCCTAGGGAAATGATTTTCATAAAGTAGTGATTTATACTCGATGAATTATTTATTTCCTTCCTCTGTTAGGAAGTTAGAAAGGGAATCTCATGTTTACTATATCCTCAGTGCCCAGCACAGTGTCTCGCACTTGGTAGGGTTGCCAGAACTACTTAAGTGACTGAGTGACACAGAAACCAAAAGTTTAAATAGTGGTTATGAAGCATAGAGCTAGCCAGAGAAAGAGTTTTATATTTATAAACTCTGATCTCAAAAACTCATCATATTTGGTTGCTAGGTTTTCTTTCTGGCACTTAGAAATGAGTATAATGATTGCAGCAGCCCATTCGGAAGATTTTTATATGAAGTAAATACGTAAAGCCTATGAATTTTCTTGTAAAAATGAAACTAGAATTAATGACGTTTCTGATTGGAAGTTTAAATGATTGTTTCATGCTGAGGAAATGACGTATATTGTACATTTATAGCAATTATATATTGAACTGTACTCACTATGTGAGTCGGCTTAATGTGGTAATATTTCGATGCTCAGTTGGCCTATGTTGGTATCAGAGTGAATCAAAATTTTGGGGAGGGCTAATGTAGAGTTTAAAAATAATATTCAGTATAATTATTGCTTGCTAAAATACTCTTGGCTAGGGCTGATTGAAACTTGTTCAGTTAGTCAAGTTTAGGAACTAGCTATGCATTGGATTGTGGAAGAAAGCATTGTAGGTTAAAAAGGATTGAAAAATACTACTTTGGAAAATCTCACAGGTTTCTACAAAAATATTATGTCTGTATACTCTGGCAAATGTTTTACTTTGTTTTGCTGAGGCAGGTCAAAGCAGGTAAAGCACGTGATTTTTAGGCTCCTTTGTTCTTGGACCAGGAAAGTTTGAGAACTAGTCACCCTTCTGAGAAATGCTGAGAGGTATTGCCATTCAGAGCAGGTATTCAGAAGAAGCTAGCTTGAGCTAATGCCACATTAAAGATTTGTTCCAAATTGGATGCTAACATTTTAAGATTTTGGAGCTTCATTACAAAATTATTTTACTGATACTCTGCCAGTCTTTTGACCACTTATTTCCCATTTGGGTGGATTATTTTATCCTAGGAATAAAAAGTTCTGTATTGAGGTGGTCCTTTTACATTATTGGTGATTTATTAGGCTCAGAAAGGCTTTTTTGTTGTTTCTTACCAAAGTCATATCTTTCCCATAGGCTTGGTAACAGACTTGAAGGGCCATTTTGTAACTCAGGTGGCTATGGGCAAAGCTCACACTTGTGTTTTAATGAAGAATGGAGAAGTTTGGACATTTGGTGTCAATAATAAAGGACAGTGTGGGCGAGACACGGGTGCCATGAACCAGGGCGGGAAAGGTAGGTATCGATGTGTGGTCATTCAACTGTGTGTTGTTTTTTCATTAGTTTTTCAGAACCACATGGCGAAGAATCTTACTCTTTTCAAAACAAGTGGATCTTTGATTTCATACTTACAAATTAGGAAAACCACTGAATTTTTTATTTATTTGACAGTATATCACTGGAATAATCAAATATAACCTAGACTTATAATTTCTGAGCAGATGAGCTTGTTTACTTGTATGTTCTCCTTAACTTTATATAAAATATTATAGAACCTTTTTGCTTTAGTATTTTTAGTGACTAAATTATTCTAGAAAAGTGTACTTTTCAGACTCTTTGTTATTAGCTTTTCATACCGTATTTTCAGTTTTAAACATTGTTGGCAGCAGTCTGTGTGGCAAATTATTATCTTCCTATTTAACAGCATTTGCTTACCTCTAATATAATCAGTTCATGACAACTAAGAATGATCCTTAAGAATACTTGACCCTTTATCAAGATCTAAATTGTAGGTGCCCCTTATTCACTGTATTCTGTGCCTATTCAGGCTACTGAAAGGAAGTGAGAGATTTATCCAGGCTTGTTGTGGTATTATTTTTGAATAGTTGTGTCTGCTTCATTCTTGCTCTCAATTTTTATTTCAGTTGCTATCAATGTTATCCTAAACCTTTCATTCCAGTTTCTGGTTTTCTGTTTTTAATTTTGTGTGGGTTTGAGAATAGGAACTATTCTTATTAGAACTAAGCATTGAACTGCATTTAGTTACAAATGAGTTTCAGGATTAATATTTGTATAAATTAACAAAAACAAGTTCATCAGGACATCAAGAGCCCACTATTTTTTTCTTTATTTATATAATTGTGTATTTAAAATACTTTAGTTTTTAAAAGAGCAAGTCTGTTACAGCAGTACTGATTTTTTTTTTTAAAGGAAGAACAGAAGAAGACAAGAAGTAAATTATTTTAAAATGGAAACCTTTTTTCTTCTTGCTAAACTAGTGAACTATAGTTTTGGATAATACCTACTTGGCAAAGAAGAGAGAACTGGTTTAGTTTTCTACTTACATATTCAGCTTATGTTTTATAAGAGTTCTGAAGTGAATAAAGTTATTATTTTGAAACTTTGGTGAAAATTTGGCATACATTTACACCTATGTCATGGACTCAGTGCAAATTTTGTAATAATCAAAATAAAATTGTTAAAAAGATTTTTTACTTAATAGAAGTCATACCCACTGTTATTAAGTATTAAATTAGAAAGCAAGCAAAAAGTGTAAGACAATGAATACAGATTGCAGAGTCATAAAGAACATAAAGGCATTTTTTAAAGTTTCTTTTAGAAAACAGGAAAAGTACCGATATTAAAATATTTTTTTTAAAGTGTATCTACCACCATATCTTATTATTTTTCAGTGAAAAAAAATTATTGATAAGATTCTAGTGTCCTGTGTCCCCTACCAAGGCCTATTATTATACTCCATCTCTCTCCAGAACTAACCACAATCATGACTTTAATTGATTTCAGTCATGTTCCTATATTTTTACTTGTTCTTATATATTTTATATGTAAAATATATCACACATATATTTTAAGCATAAAAGTAAAACATAAGTGCTAATCTGTTACTCATATTTTTCTGCAAAAAAATATGTCTCACCGTTGTGCTTGAAGTATGTCCATGTTGGTACATATAAATCTAGATGATTCAAGTTACCTGCTATGTAAAAACACCATACCACTAGCATACCACAGTTGATCCATTCTCCTGCTAAGAGAAGAGTTTATTTCTAATATTTCACTATTATAATTTTAAAATCTTTATACACGTTTTCTGGCAAACATGTGTGAGACACCCTCTCGTGAAATTGCTGTGTTGTAGATTTCAGCTTTGCTAGATTTTTCTTGGAAGAGGTTGTACCAATTTATACTCTTACCAGTAGAGTTTGATTTTCCACATCACTCAAGTAGTTGGAATGAAAAGACTCTGATTTTGTCAATGTAAGGGCTATGACTTTGTATTTCATTGCAGTTTTTTTATATTGAAGTATAACATGTATGCAGAAAGATATACATATCATAAGTGTACATCTCCATGAATTTTCACAAACTGAACACATTTATGTAATCAGCACCCCAGGAAACCCCCTTTTATTTTCCTCTCCAGTTACTCTCCTTTCCAGTTGATACCATATGTTACTTTTGCATACTTTTGTACTTTATAAATGTAATAATGTAGTTTGAACACTTTAATGTCTGGTTTCTTTTCATTCAGCTTTATATCTATGAGATTCAACCATGTTGTTGTTCATTCTCATTTTTGTGTAATTATAGTATTAAATCGTGAATATACAACAGTTTTAAAATCTTTTCTGGGATTGTGAACATTTGAATAGTTTCTAGTTTTGTTTATTATGAATAATGTTATGAACATTTCTAGTAAATGTCAGTGAAAATGTACATTTCTTTGGGGTATATAACTAGGAGTAGAATTGCTAGGTATCTCATATTTATTTTAATTTGCATTTCCTTGGTTATAAGTAGTGATTTAGACTGTATTTTCAAACTTTTCTTATTTTGCTTGCCTTTTTCTCATTGACTTGTAGGAGTTTTTTTATGTTGTATGTGTTGCAAATATCTTTGACTAACTCGTGCATATTTTTTATATTTATGTTTCATTTGTTGCATATAATTTTTAAATTTTGATGGCAAATTTTCCTTTTTTTTTTTTAAATAAATTTTTACTTTATCTAGTCAAGTTGGGGCCTTTTTTCCCATAAGAATTAGAGTCAGTTTTTCTTGGCATTTGTGATTGGGATTGCTTTGAATTTAGAGATTAATTTGAGGATAATAGTAATAGTACTGTTGGGATAGTTAAATGGGTAATACATATAGACCTAGGTACAAATAAGTATTCAATGTATTTTAACTATTGTTATTTAACATACAGCCATTTAGGCCTTCTTCGTTATTGCTTTATTCTAATTCCAGGCATATGTAGTTATCTAGTACTTGGTTATCTAATTTTCCAGCCTGTCCATAGATTAGAAGGGATGAAAATAAAATAAAAAGGCTGTATATTCTATGAGTTCATTCCTTGAATAGAAAAACCTATACTGAGTCTAAGTTTAAGTGGTAATAGGTTGTCTAAAATAAGGGATAAAGTGAGCGAGGTATAACCTTGGCTTTGAGGATCTAAGTCTAGTAGGAAAGACAAACATAAAAAATAATTTCTTGATTCCCACAGATTTTCTCTTTTATTATATGCTCTCGTAGCACTGTATGTTTCTTCATAATCCTGTTATAGTTGTATATTTATACTCTTCTATATGGCTATTTGATTATCATGGATCTTTCTCACTAAGTTATAAGCTTTATAGTAGCTCATTATCATAGTCCTCAGTTCTTAGAGCAGATGTCTACAAACCATAACCTGATGCCATATCTGCTCAGTGGCCTGTTTCTGTATGGCCCTCCAAGGTAAGAATGGATTTTACACTTGTAAAGTGTTGTTTTTAAAAATGTGACAGAGACTTATGTGGTCCACAAAGCCTAGATTATTAACAGTATGGCCCTTTACGAAAAATTTTGCTGACTCTGCCTTAAGGTGAAATATCTGGGGCATAGTAGGTGTTCAATCATAATTAAAAAAAAAAAAAGGTTGAAGGAATTATAACAAAAATAAGTAATAATCGAGGTGTAAACAGGTTTTAAGAAAGTAGTGACTCTGGAAGAAGTGGTAAGTGCTTTCATAGGAAATGACTTCTAAGCTGAGTTGTTGAAGGCTGAAAAGGAGTTTCTCTGGTAGATGAGGTAGAGAAAGGCATCTGGTAAATGAGGTAGAATCATGCAGATGGAGCAGAATGACCAAAGGCCCGGAACATGTGAAAGGACACAGGATGTTTAGAAAGCAGAGGATATTTAGGTTCAGGTAGAGTGTAGTTTGCATGGAAGAAATGAGATTGGAAAAAATTGGAAGCCATTGTGTGACTGTATCTTGCTGAGGAGTTTTGTTCTTTTAAAAACCTTGGAAAGACATTGGAGCTTTGTAAATTGTCAAGTCATAGGATCAAGTATGTTTTAAGTAGCTGATCGCTAGCAGTGGGAGGATGTTCTGGAGTGGAGGGACTCTTGGCTTAGAGTGTGGTTAGGGGACTTCGGTCTGTTGAACAAAAGTGTTGGCTGTGAAGATGGAAAAGAGATACTAAAATCAGAAAAAAATAAAAGTGTGATTGACAGAAAATTATAACTAAGAGATATTCCTTCTGCCCTTGGTTCTTTTTGCAGAATGGAAATAGAGCATTTATTAATGGTCCCTAAATTTTATTTTTGTTGCTTTTAAATTCTAGCATTCCTTTGCATATTCACTTGGATTAACACATTTTTAATTGGGAAATATAATTATCAGTTTTTTAGACATGGGAAGTAATCTACATAAAAATTATAAATTGATCCATCAAATAGGATTTGGAGTTGAAAATATGGCCACAGCAATGGATGAAGACCTGGAAGAAGAACTAGATGAAAAAGATGAGAAGTCCATGATGTGTCCTCCAGGCATGCATAAATGGAAGCTAGAGCAGTGCATGGTGTGCACTGTCTGTGGAGACTGTACGGGTTATGGAGCCAGCTGCGTCAGTAGTGGGCGTCCAGACAGAGTTCCTGGAGGGTAAGAAAATGATCGATACTGAGGAAATAAAATATTTGTAGAAAATATTCCAGAGTATTCTACTATGTTGTGTCTTAAAGGCATATTGACAACTTTTTAGTAGTCAGGTACTTCTTCTCAGATAATTTCTGAATCTCCTATGAGTATATTCCCTGGTTTACACTAGGCCTAACAGTGAAATAGATCATATATAACAGACCTTTTAGGCTATTGAAATATTAGGATTTTTAAATAATATATTTTATTTGCATTTTTAGCCTATGTAAAAATATTTTGACTCTCTTTATCAAAGGATAATATTTCTTCTACAAAAAAGTTAAAATTTATCTTCCTGGATCCCTCTCAGGCTATTTCCATTAAAATTAAGTGTCCCCAATCTCAGAACTTAAGCAAATGATAAATGTCATAAATAAATTTATAATTCTCTGGTTCTTCCTGAAATTATTCTTTTTATACTAATTTGCTGTCAGTTTCCAATAATTATTTATTGCTCTAAATGGATATTACCCAAGTCCAATAATTTCTTTATTAATGAAGCAGAAATGAATATATGAATAAAGTCAGCATAAGAATATGTGCCAGGACACTAAGCACTATTAAAAATGACTTCAGGTATTATAAAGTTGTGACTATATAGCTTAAGTTAAATTTAGAATTAAACATTATTTTCTAAATAGTGCCTACAGATAATTAGCAGGGCGTATTAATTATGTCAGTTTTTACTGTTGTAGTCAGTGACCCTCCAAACTGTCAGTAATGCTTGCATTTAAGAGCCAAGAATTTCACAGGGCACCTTGCTGTCTTTCAAAACTGCTGCCAGGTAGACCTTTCATCTTTTACTTCTGCAAATGTGGATAACTGGAAGCTCAACAAAGCTGTCAAAAGTTTTTAAAGACTGATTCAGCGAATAATGTTAAAGCTACAATTTCTATATCTATAAAATGTCTGGCTAAGATAGTTGTTCACTGATCCTCTTACCAACTTCTGGTAGTGTTCTTGTCTTCTTTATGTTGTAATCAAATGCCATACTCTTATTTCACAACTGATATGAAAAGGACAAAGACGAAAAATAACAGGTTAGATGTAGTGAAAGGAGCAAATGGGAGATGATAGCATATAAAGGAGAGGAAGGAGAAAGGAGTCATAATGTAAGAAGCTGACAAGCTGGGCTCATTCATTGAAGGCTGCTCACACCTCCCTTCACTTATCTGGTAGATAGAAATGTCTGGTTGCTTGTTCGTTTATCAGTCACATCATCCAGACCACTTACTAGTAAAGCTACTGGTGCTTCACTTTGAAAATATTTGTTAATAGAATCTTTGAAGATATTTGAAGAATAAGTTACCTTCTGTAGAAATATACCAACTATGCCTCTGAGATGCTTAATAAACTTTTGTTTTCAGTTATTCATCTGTTCATACCTTTTCTTAAAAATCGACACATCTTGATCCTGATTTCATTTAACTTAATCTCAGAGATGCAGAAAAGATGTTATAGAAAAGAGTTTTAAGGCAAGAGTAGAAGGATTTCAGTTAATTCTTTTCTCTTTTTTTTATTTTAGGATCTGTGGTTGTGGTTCTGGAGAATCCGGCTGTGCTGTGTGTGGATGTTGCAAGGCTTGTGCAAGAGAGTTGGATGGCCAAGAGGCAAGACAAAGAGGAATTCTTGATGCGGTGAAAGAGATGATACCTTTAGATCTTCTGTTAGGTAATTTGCTTGATTCTACTAAACTCGGTAATTTGGATAGTTTAAACAATTTCTATTAGATATATGTTAGAAAATTAAATTAATAGTTAATTATGCAATACTGCTTGTATGGTAACTGATAGTATGTCATTAATTAAGGAATGAGATTTTTTTCTTTTTAGCTAAGATTATTGCTGTAAAAATAATTTGTGTTTTAGACAGTATTTTTGTTAACTTTTACTTTCTTGAATATCATATAGTTCTCTTATATCTATTATATATGTGTATATACACATGTATGTGTGTGGTGCACACACAGACACACACACACGTATCTGTATATATTATTTTGTCAATCATCCAGCTGTCCCAGTACCTGGGGTTAACATTGAAGAACACCTTCAGTTACGACAAGAAGAGAAACGGCAGCGAGTAATCAGGCGACACAGATTAGAAGAAGGAAGAGGTAAGAGGTAGCCGCAGAAAGTATATGAAAATCCCTTTTATTACCCTATACTGAGACCTCTGAAAAGTTTACAGAATAGGCTGATTTGGTAAGAAATAGAAATTAAAGTTAGTAATATTCTAGTAACTCATGAAAATAATGTGAAAATATTCAGAGTATTTATGATTGTGCTGATAACATACATTTAATTCAATAGGGTATTTATCACATAAGTCAACCATATTAAGAATTTTTGTGCCACTTGCCAGGCGCAAAAAAATTATTAGAGATAGCAACTTTTTTAAAAAACATGAATTCTAAGAATTTATTCTTCACCCAGATTTTGTATTCATCTTTGTAACCATAAACAAATTAGTTTAGCATAGTATTGTATTTTGTTTTCTTAGTCATTTATAATCATTATCATTTGGGCGTAGTCCTACCACTCTTTGTTATAATCCAGTGCATAATTATGCTTTTATGTGTCTTTTTTTTTTTTGAAAAAGCTTATTCTGGTTATATACAAGAATGGTAAGTTGGAGAGTTTGCAGGTTTTAATTGCAAAGGTAGATTTACTATTTATCTTTTCTTCATTGTTAATGATCATTTCTCATCCTAAAAATACATTTAATGGTGGTTTTAATAGGTATTTAGTATCTATCCAACAAGCAGAGATAAATATAAGCATTTTTAGTAATTTTTAGTAATACTTATATTTAGTAATACGTCTATTTTTGCCCAATAGAATCTTCGTTGTAGGATTAAGGCAGAGGTCTGTGATTTTATTCTTCTGCTAGAGAAAATCTTGATTAGAAATATTTTCCGATATTGTATATTTTAAATTCTTATTAGAAATGACATGATGCTTGATGCATGAGATAGAACCTATTACCCATTTAACCATCATTACAATTTTTTCTAGGCATCTTTTTTTTTTTAATGTAAAATAAGATAAGTAGTAAAATATATAGCACACATGGTAAATTCTGTTTTTATTTAATTTATAAAACACGTTTGGAACTTGAGGATTGTTCTTTACTAATAAACAGTGTTGATGAATTGATACAGTGAATATTTGCAGTTAGTTTGGCTTTGTTTACATGAACTTATTGCCTTTAAAGGTTATTTTAATGAAAATAATGTATAAATATATGGGGAAATAGACATTAAATGTTAAGTAGAAAATAGGGTAAATTTTAAGTTCTGGTTATTTAAGACATATGGTAATTGAGTGATAATTCCTTTATGTTAATTATATGATTTGCCTAAAGTTAATTATCAGTGTACCTTTTTAGTACCTGTTTTTTCCTTTTTTTCGAAAATACTAGGTTGAATCATATGAATTGACCTACCAAACTCAGCAGTTTCTTATGTTTCAGCCAAAGTATATAGCAAATCCTTATGATGACATATAATCACTTGTCTAATACTCTATACTTTGTTAATTTTTTTCTTTTTCTATAAAAAGCTGTTCTTCTCTAGCCATAATATATTTCTGCATATCAGAAGTAAAAGGACATTGATTATGCATTTTGTTATTCAACAAAACTTTGTGATTGCAGAATATTCTTTATCCATTTATTTTAAAATGTGTCATAGACCTTTAAAACATAAACTCTAACCTTTTAAGGTTAAAAAATTTATTTAAATATTTATAGAAATTATATCTGACCTTATAAACACAGTCTTAGGTTCCAGGCAGTTGGTGTATATTTTGTGACAAATTAATTTCATATGCAGTCAATATACTGAAAAATTTATTCTGATTATTGGTGCCCAAAAATTGTCTTATATTTTGGTTGAGCTTTCTGACACATATCATCATCCTCTTTCATTTATGTTAAAACAGAATGTGTAGTAAATACATCTTTTCTTGATGGGTTAGAATCTTCATTATGGACCTTAATTTTTTCATGGTACTGAAATTTGGGCATATTAGAACCATGTCCTCGCTTTGCACAGTCACTAGGGTTACTGTGGAATCATGCAGTGAGGACATAGTTCCAATATGCATGAGTTTCAGTTAACGCGGTACTGTGCAAAGGGAAGCCTACTTACAAAGTTTATTTTGTACAAATACTTTTAAACAAGAATTCTAATTATATCAATTTTTAAAAGTCAAGCTTCAGATTCTTATTCAATGACTTTGGAAAATTGTTTTACTATAAAACAATACCACGATACGATACTTTTATAATCTTTATTTTGCGCCTCAGCATTTTGTTATGAGCAATTTTATAAGAAAACAAGTTTTTATAAGAAAACAAAATGTACACAATTGGATAGGGGAATAAACTGGAATGATAAATACCAAAATGATAATAGTGATTTTTCTTGAGAAATGAGTTGTTCTTTACAATTTTTTTTTCTAAATACTCTTCAGTATATGCACATTACTTTATAAACAAAATAAGAGTTATGTTTTAAAACCGAAGCCATTGTTTATTTAAAAATATAGATTGGTTCAGAGACACTTACATTTTACCTTTGTGTTTTAAAAAATACACATATTTTAATTGGATGGAGGAATCCCTTTCAGGTACTATACTTTTCATTATTTTTAGACAGTGGTTTGTTTTCAAAGTGGTCTCAAAGGGACCAGCATCACTTGGGCACTTGTTACAATTGCCTGTTCTCAGGCTCCACCCCAGATTTACTGAATCAGAAACTGGGGAATGAGGCCTAGCAAACTGTTTGAACAAGCCCACCAGGTATTCTTACGGTGCTGAAGTGTGAGAACCACTGCTCTAGGGCAGTATTGTTCACAGTGTGTTCCATGGACTGCTACCATCAGAATCAAGTGGGTCTAGTGAAGCAGCATTTCTGCCTGAGGGTCCTGGATACAGATTTGAGTCCCATGCTCAGTGTCATAGGGCTCTTGTTTGGCACTGTGCTAGAGAGGATTGTTAGTCTTGTTTTGTCACCATGAGGAACAGATATATTTTTAGTGTTCCAACTGCCACACATTCTTGTCTTTTTTTTTTCTTGGCGTATGCTTGTTACTTTTTAGATACTAACAGTTTAGTAATATGTTAGTAATTATGCTCATTAGTAATTTGGCTTTTACTTATGATGAAATTTCAGAACTTCACGATTATGTTATGTTAAATTATTTTACTTGATTTAGCTATCTCATCTTCTTTACCAAGTTTGTGTTGTTTTAGAGTTGATCAGAATTTAGGATCTCACTCTCGCATTAAAGATTTACTCAGTCAGCCTTAGGGCCGATTCATGTCATTTAGTTGCTGTTTATGACACAAAGTCTCTATAATGGAATGCGTTGAAACCCCTAAAAGCAGTCTTATTACTGTTTTTTGATAAATTTGGAACTTTGTCTTTAAATATGATATTAATCTTCTGCATATTTTTCTTAAATATATGTTCTTAGGTAACAGTAGTATTCATTTACAGATTTTATTTCAATGACGTTTGTGATAACTTTAATTTGTTTTTTAGATTACACAGGATTGATCAATGTATAAATTCTGTGAGACTTGTATTAAGTTTATAAGTGAAATAGAATTTTTCAGTATAACTCTCAAGTCATCAGATGGTATCAATGATCTTATCTTTGTATTCCTTCTTGGCTCTTTATTATAAGGAAAACTAAGCTCAAATAATGTTGGCTACTTTTCCTTCTTTCTTTTCACTCTAAATGTCAAATCAAAGTTTTATAATAGTTAGCTGTAGATGCAGTGACCTTTTGTTTTGGTTTGTCTGGGACAGTCCTATTTTATGCCTGCTGTTTGGGCATATTTCTTAATAGTTCCCTCAGAATCTCTTTTGGATAATAAGTTATATGGTTAGTGTAGCTGTATAGCATGGTGGTTAAGAGCATGGGCTCTGAAGTTAGACTCTGGTTCAAATCCTGACTTCTTAACTTTTACTGGGGATACTTTACCTTGGAATTTAACTATGCCAATTATATCACTGACTGAATTTTATGTTTTCTATATTTGTTTAATGTTACAGTATATACATTTTTATATTTTGCTTGTGTTTTTTCCCTTGCCTTCACATTTTCCTCTACCAGGCAAATGAGGTCTAGTCCAATGGGTATACTTCCATGTCTTAATCCATTATAATGTAATCATGTGCAGATATCTACACGTGTGAAAGTATAGTCATATGTTTATTTTACAAAGTGGCATTATATATTACAATGCTTTATAACATCTTTTTCTCATTTTACAATACAACATGAAGAACATACACTAGGTCAGTCAATATGGATCTGCTATATTCTATTTAATAGCTACCTAACATATCATAATATGGCTGTACTACAGTTTATTCAACTGTTATTTCGTTGATGGGCATTCGGTTATTTTCAGGGTTTTGTGGGTTTTGATATAATAAATATTCTTAAACTTGAAGCCATATGTATTGGAGTTTTTATTTATTTGGTAGAGATTCCCAGAAATAAAATATCTGGGCCAGAGAATGTTTGTTTTAAATTTTAATAGATATTTTAAATTGTTTTTAAAATATTATAGGAATTTATCTTCTCCAGACTAATGTATGAGGGTGGCATTTTTGCAAAACAATTAGTAGTGTTATCTCTTTTCTAATTTAAATAACACAAAAGCATTTTCTGTGTAAAATTTTTCATAAAGCTCATTTTAGTGGCCAAATATTCCATTGAATGGATATATCATAGTTATTCATTAGGCTCCAATTTGGATTTTTAATTTTTGTTACAGTAAGGTTATAGTAACACCTTTGATCTGAAAATAAAAATATATATATTTCAGAGTTTTCCTTAGGATAGATTTCTTGATGTACAATTACTGGGCCAAAGCATACTAATAATTTTTAGATTTTTGAAATGTATCACCAATAACTCTTCTGAAAAGCTTGTCCTATTTCACACTGCCACTTTTTCCAGTCACCCCTTTCCGCCTACCTGCCTGTGGATGTTCTCTGAAAAACCTATTGTCTACACGTGAATGAGGAAGCTTTTGAATATCTAAATCTTTTCTTTCACTCTCCTGTTTCATTCACTCCTCCTCCCACTAAACCAAATAAACCAACAAGTTATGGTAATTGTGCTTTCTTAATTCTATTAAAAAAAAATTATTAAAGCTTTTGAATTGTCTACTTCTTTAGAATGCCACTGTTGTTCCTTCCCTTAGCTCAGTCCACTTCTGTTCTTTGTCTGAATTACAGCAAAAATGATCCTATAAATGGTCTTACCCTCAATTTTATCTTCTTCTAAGCTATTGTCCACTTTCTATCCAGAATAGTTTTTCTGAAATGCAGAATGTTTTTTTTCTAAAAGCACTCTTCTGTTTAAAACCAAAAAACTATTCATAGTTCTCAGAGTGAATTCCACATTTTATCTCTGCAGCTTCATCTCTTTATTACTCTTCTTCCTATTCCCTGTCTCTAAACATTTTTTTCCTATATCTCTGAAACTTCATAGTACTCCATACCTTTTTTATTAGGTCTCAGCTTGTGTGTTTTTTTCCTATTTTTGTATGATGAAATTTCTTACTTTCCCATCCTCAAGGCTTGCTAGCTGTCCCTCCAGTGTGCTTAATTTTATCATAGCACACTGTCGTAATTTCTTATTGAGATGTGTGTAAATTCTTCCTACCCCCAGTAGACTGTGAGCTTCTTGAAGCAAAGATGGTGGCTTGTTTATCCAAGGACCGAGCCTGGTGCCTGAAATTGGTCAGTACTTAATATGTCTTTGTTGACTAATTGAAAACATTTCACAGACTTCTCATCACCTCTACAATGAAGTTTCATGGTATAGAAAGATTTTACTTACTTGTTTTTTGTATACATCTCCAAACTCATTTCCCACCACTTTCTGCTTTGTAACCCTATATTCCATCCATTTTAGCTCTGTGTGTTTTTAATGAATATACAAATTGTTGTTTAACATCCTCACGCTTTTATAAATTCTATTCCTTTTACCTTTAATGCCCTCTCTTCTTTTCCTCCTCTCTTGACAACCTTTTTCTCATTCTTTGAAATTTTTCTGATCAAATTCATTTGATCACTTTTCATCCTTTAGAATATACTGTATACTGATTTCCTTTATAACGTTTATCACAACATATTGTTATTCTTTGTTTTTATTTCTGTCTTCTCTATTAGACTGAATTCCAATGAGATCTGTGTCTTTGTCATTATATCCATGATACCTAGTTCTTATTACATTAAAAATAATAAAAATGTTTGGTAAATAAATGAATGACTATATTATGTTTGTAAGAAAAATTATTTTAGTCTATGAGATACAGAGTATTTTAGAACCTGGTAGCCTAGTATTATAAATGGTGATTTAAATTGAGCTCGGATGGTATACTTTTTAAGAGTAATTGCCCATGGGCCTGCTAGATTTATATATCAAAAGACTAATAAGATTGAATTTATTGAGAAGTTAGATAAATATGAATATTATGGGTGTACTGTGTTTATGGGAAGAAATATCCCAAGCAGACCACAGAGATAAGAAAATGGTAATACAACTTAATATTGTTATTTTAATATTTGCAATTCTTTTGTGTAGTTGGAAGGTGTTTTTTTAGAGTGATTTATATTATCTGCTTTAGTAAATCAGTTGAAAATTAATGCATGTTGAAGAAATAAGATATTTTGTTGATATTCAAATTATATCTCATTATTACATTTTAAAAAATGGAGCTCGGTTTATATATTCTTAGCTTAAAAATAATTGGTACTGTATTGCTAGGAAATAATATTTAATTCTAACATTAACACATTTCTATCTGTAGTAATAATAGAATATGTTATTCTTGGATTTTAATAGAATTAGTGCTCCTTGTATTTTTGTATATATCTAGAGACATAATTAAAATATTCTTTTTCTACCAATTTTTTAATGTTTAATGAAGGGTACTTTGGTATTTAATTTGACATTTGTTAGATTTTATAACAGGACAACAGTTTCATTTTGTTCCATTTTGTTCCATTGTTAGAAAAATTAATTATAGCTGAAGATCTGTAGGGAATCACAAATTAAAAATATTTAGCGCTCATATACTGTCAATTTTCTTTTCAATTACTGGTAACTTCATTATCAAATTTAGAGTGTTTTGGAATTTGCAGGCATTTTCGATGTTATTAAAATCAAGGAAGCTATAGTTCTGTTCTATATGAAAATACCTGAAAATTTAAGGTATAATTTAAAGTTTCTTTTCAAGCTAAATGATAATGGGAAAAAGCAGTTTTTAAATGTTATTGAAATTAATTTGGCCATACATTTTTTTTCCTTGAATATTATGCAAGTGGAAATAACTGTAATCTATGTGAGTATATATTTGTGTATGTATATATACATTCATAGTGGAGCTTCAGAAAGAAACGATTTTATGAGAGATGGTTAATGTTCCATAAATGTTACTGGGTTTAGAGTCCCCTTTTCAGCATAAATGGGAAGCTGTTTATTCTTGTTCTGATTTTGTGTAAGTGTTTAAAGTTAGATTTATCATTTTTAGAAAATCAAATCAACTAGAACTACAATTCTGTCTTTATAAAACAGTGATTTTCTATATATACATATGTGTGTGTATATGTGGTTGTATCAGATCACAGTAATTTTTGTTTTTGTTTTGTTTTTGGCCATCTTATTTTCTTGCCTCTATGACAGAATGCAGTTAATAACATTTATCTTGGTTTTGTAGCAAGACTGATATGGGTATTAAATCTTGAAGACCTTATTTAAATTTAATCATTAATTTAAAAAATTAATTGGTTTTTGGTATTAAAATAGGTAAGGTATTTGTTTTTCATAAATGGTTAATGAGTTTGAATGTATGGTGTTAAAAATATTTGTAAAATAAAATTTGTAAGAGAAAATATTTTAGTCTAATTATACTTTCCGATTATTTATTTGAGACTATTAGTAACTACCTGATAATTTTATAGGTATAAAAAATAGAATCTGACTATATAAACTATAAGATATTAAAGATATTTAAGATATTAAAATTTGTGTGTGGAATGGTGAATAGGTTGTGGTTGGGGGTGGAGGGTTTATCGGGAGAAAAGTATGATGTCCAAAACAGTAAAGAATAAATTTCCATGCTTTTTAGTTTGAATTATTTTTGTTCATTGTAGTGTTTTCATTTTGTGAGCTTTTCTATGCACATACAAAATGTTTCTCCTCAGGCCCCCTTGTATTTGCTGGTCCTATTTTTATGAACCATCGAGAACAGGCTCTAGCCAGACTCAGATCCCATCCAGCACAGCTAAAGCATAAACGGGACAAGCACAAAGGTATTTGGTCTTCCTTATCAACTAGGTGGGATACTTTCCCAATTTCTTCCACTCATTTGAATTTTGTCTCTGGGAAAATGCACAACCCTAATTCTTCTACTTTGCTTCTGTCATTATTATATAGCCTGAGGAGAAAGAACATGCTGAAAACTTGTACTGTTTGTCAATGACTATCAAGTTTATTTCACTTTTTTGTTAACTTTAAGAAGACATTTTACAGTATATCTTTTTGTTTTCCATTTCTTTTCAAATTTAATAATGTTAAGTGAAGGTGGAAAAAGTAATTATTGCTTTCTATTTTCATGCTTTATTATCTATTCTTAGATGACTGCCATCTGGCATTTTACTTTCTTTAAATGCTGTTTATTTGCTTTAGAATTAACAAGATTACTAAATTCAGTGTATAAAGTGATAATGAGTCAACTGCTATTGCATTTTTCCATTGTTTTAATATCAAAGTTTTTATACACAACACACATGAATTGTTCGATATTTGAGGTTCCAATCATGATATAGGTATAAGCAAAGAGTGAGTTATGGAGACCTATCCTAGTCCTCAGAAACTGTCAGAAGTCCAACAAGTTTGTGAATGACTGGGAATCTATCTATGCACAATTATTTCTGGCATTAGAGTTATGCATTAATTAAAAATATTCTTAAATCAAACTTATTTTCTTTATAGATTATGAATCAACTAAGATCAGGAAATAATTTAATACAGAGAATTTATAAATTTGCATATAAATTCTGCCTTGAATCCTGGTATGTGAACAGCGGCTCTTTGACCAGTATAAGTTACAATTGCTATTTTCTCAAATGCCGAAGATAAATCCCAGCAAGTAGAACAGAAAGTTTTAAAAACACATATTTCACATAGTCAAATTAAGCTAACGTTTTGTGTTTTTTTGCTATAAAACTGTTGACTAATTTTATGATTAAACTTTCACATACTACATATTACAATCAACTTTATTTTTATTTGTCTCTATCAGTTTGCCACTCAAAGCAAAAACACAAACAAAACAGACAAAAACCCATTTTTACTAAAAACACAAATAGAGTACTACTTAAGATATGTTCTGTAGAATTAAAAATTGAGAGTATTTTAAATCTGATGTGATTAACCATAGTAAAATTTATGATTGCTTTATTTACTGAGTGCTCTAACAATACCATAAATATTTAAATATGAGGAACAATATTTTGGGTATGCTCTGTAAATTATTTTAATTATTGCCAGAATCTTTGATCTCATATTTTCTACTATGCCACTATTAGATTAGATTTTCTCAATGTCTTTTTCCCCCCCAATTATATAAAAGTGAAGTTTTTTCCAATATTTTACCTGAAGTTAAATACATTTCATGAGAGAGTTTAAACCTTTTTGGGCTTCATATCGATATCTTGTAGACAAACATCTTTATTTTTTTCCTCAGAATTTTAAAATGAAATGCTAAATGGAGACAAATCTTACAAACTTTTTTATAATGTCACAATGATTAGCAATAGAAATCACTCAACAATAACTAGCCTCACTTTTACCTTGTCTGCCACAGGGTAATTTTATAACAAGACTCTGAATATTTGTAGCAACCTGTTTGGAAGGACTTATTTTATAGTATTACAGGGGTTTTTTTTTTGTTTTTTGTTTTTTTTAAATTAGATTGTATGGTTTTATTCAATGAAACAATTTCATCTCTTTACCACCAAAATATAAATTTAAAGTGTAAGTAATGGTGCCCTATTTGATACAGAGTATTAACTTACCACTTACTAATTCCTGTAGACCCACAAATTCTCCCTACTCCCTTTACATTCACTGTCCCTGTCATTTAATCATTTTGCCATTCCCTGCTTTTTACTGTTGCTACATACAGTGTCTTTTAATACATTTTTTTTTGCTATATATATATATTTTCTCTTTTTTCTTACCCTATTTGTCTTCCACTGAGATATTCATTATTTTAATTGCTGTGTTATGTCTTACATTTACTTATGTTGGTGGTAAAAATTGTAGGATGAAAACAGTTAAAATTTTCTAGATTGTGCCTTTTTCATGGGGGTGTGTGGAGGGTAAGAACTGTGGATTTATTGTTAACAGGAGTGAGCTCTAAGATGGAAAGTTGGAGAGCTTCTGGGAGATTGGAGAAAATTCAGAGAAGGTCACGGAGTACATCCTATACAGGCAAATTTTGACAAGAGGCAAAATAGAGTACTTAAGGCTGAATCAATAAATATATAATTCATATAAGATATAGTAAGTTATTTTAAAAATGTAACCAGAGACTATATTTCAAACAGATAATCTGAGTTAATATTTTGTTTCAGCTTTTCGGTGCCTTACATAGAAAAAGATTTTAATACAGTATTACTAATTAGGAACATTTGAATTACTCTGATAGTCTTGAAATCTATCTTAAAGTGACTGATATGAAAACCCAGAAGTACACTGATAAACATCTGTGTGATTCTGATACCTGTTTTCTGTTTAGAAATGGTGTGGTGTGTTGGAAATGTTATGCCTTCAGAATTACGCTTCAGTTTTAATCCTAAATTTGTCATTTACTAGAACTATGTGGCCATTCATAAATTTCTTAATTTCTTTGACTTTAGTTTTTTATTTTAAAAATAAGAATGATAATTCCTAACTGATTTAAATATGAGGATTAAATTAAGATATAGATGTGGATGTTTATAAATACATTTATATATTCTTTGCAAATAGAAATCCTCTATGAATACGGGCTTTAATTCTTCAAATTGAATTCCTTTCTCTTATAGAATCATTTTAAAAGTACAAAATTTGAGATTTCTTGAATGCGTAATTAGTTTATATTTACAAAAGATTTAAGATGTCAGACATTTGGTGGTGGTAAAATGCATGAGTCTTATTTTCCATCAAACTCCAAAACTGCTCTACCATTTATTCCTTTGGGCTGGTTACTTAATTCCTCTAAGCTTTGATTTTCACAGCTGCAAAATTAAATAACAATACCTATTGATTAAAGAAAGCAACAATAGTGATTATTTATTGAGCACTTTTCTTGTTATTTCACTTCATCTTCATAAGAACCTTGTGAGGTAATGTACCATTATTGCTATTTTAATAGCTGAGAAGGCTAAGATTTACAAAGTCCAGTGTCCAGTTGTCATACAACTCTCTAATAGTAGAGCCAGGATTCCATTCCAGCTCTGTTGGGCTTTAGTGCCCAAAAGCACTTATCTACTGTGCTATTTAAATTTGCAGTGTTTAGCACAGAGCAAGTATTTAGCAAATTGAGTTGCTACTGCTTTGCTGTTTATTTCAGTGATTTTGCTTAAAGTACTCACTCTGTTCTGTGATACTTTTTGTGAAATGCACAACCATAAGATTACTCAAAAAAGTGTAGATTTAAATAAAAATTAGAAAGCTAAGTTTTTTAAATACCCAATCCTCTTTGTGTATACACAAATATGTATACACACACACACACACACACACACACATATACACACACAATATTTTACTATCTCTCAAACTTTATACCTATATAGTTTCAATATCACATATGTGTGAACATATTTATATTAGGGAAAATATAGATATGTTCATATCTACATGGCCATTTTAAGAATATTCAGATTATTTTTCCTACAAATCTGAGGTTAGTTTTATTGCTGCTCATTAACACTTTACTGAGTAGTAGGCTCGAGCAGAATTAATCTTCCCGAATTTCACTTGCCAATTCTTGGAATTTACACCAAATTTTTGGCTATTTGTGAGGTACCTTGTTTTCTTTGATAGACTTTTATAAATTTCTAAATTATTAGAGTTGTACTTGATTTTTAATTGTCTTCAAATACCAGATACGAATATATATTTTTTTAAATTCTGCCACTGCTGCTGATAATGATTAAGAACCTTAGTCCTATTTTTACTTGTAATAATAATATTTTCACCATTTATAATAATCGAGAAATTATTTTATATAGATACAGGTTTGTTTCGATGAACTTGAACAAATGTTTCTAGTTATTTTTACCTTTAATAGCTACAGTTCTTTTAATTACCATGGTTTTAATCAGTAAATTACTAGACATTTTTTTTTTCCTCCTTCCCTGATGCTATATCTCTATTGTGGGATTTGTATCCATATTTAATCTTTAACTCAAGAGAGAGGGCAAATTCAAAAATAAAAGATTCTAACTAGGCATCAGTCTATTTATATAACATGGAAAGATACTTGTAATATTGAATTTAGTTAAGTCTGGCCAAATCATGAACATCATTTGTTTTCTATGTTAAACCAGATTTGGTTTGAATAATTAGATATTTCTACCAATTGAGATAAAGCTGTGAAATTTCTGTACATCTGGCATCTTATTTGTACAGTGTTTGGAAGCTGCTTATTCTCTTCTGTATAGGCCCTTGTTTATATTTAACCATTCCACTGCCTTTTAAGATGAGGAGTCTTTGAATTAAGAGTATATTTCATTTTAGGTGGAATGAAACCAAATGTTCTGGGTTTTTTTGTGTGTTGTTTTTTTTTTTGTAGCCCATTTATTCTTGCAGCTTTAATTTAGCAAACCCACATTAGATAATTTAGCAGAAGAGGAATCATATTTTTATCCTATTATAGTAAAACCTCTCACTAATTCAGAATTTATGATGCAGTATTTGTGATCTTTTTTGAGTAAAAATTCAAAATAATTTCTTCCTCTGAATTTTCAGGGTCATACTTATAAGGGGAAACCTGTCTAAAATCACTAGCTTTTCAAACCAAGGGCTCAAGAAATGAAGGATTCCTTCAACGTGCCTTCAACCTCTGGGTCCAGCAATTAATTCTTGTATGTTAAAGGACTTTCATGTTTATGGTACATTTTTATGTAATATAGGCCTATTTTGAATTATAATGTAGGTAACCACCTTTTATTTATTGTAGCATTTATTTTAATCTGTAGTCTGTACTGCTTAAAGGTATTAAAATTGAATTTTTACCTAAATGTTCTATGATAAAGACCTTTTCAATAAGTCGTATAGGACAACCCATTCCACGTTATTCCGAATTAGTGAGGTTTTACTGTCCTAGTGTTATAAGGAGTTTAAAGCTTTTCAAAACCATAGTCATTTAGCTATAGAAAGTTATGTCATAATTTAGGCCAATTTTGTCTTACCTGGATGTTACTAAAGATTAGAAATATTAGATAAAAAAGAAAGGATAATGTGAACATGAAATAATTTGATGTTATTCTGCTTATCATTCTAAAGTGGGCAATGAAAATGCAGAATTAATAGGTATGTCTGTAGATCTACATGTGTATCTTCATATCGTACACACGTACATAGAGTTGCTACTCCAAAAGAGAGTGACTTGGACTAGCTGACCTTTGAAATTCCTTCTAGATTTATATTATTCCATGTGCAAGGAATTTGAATCTTGATGATCTAGAGGTCATATTCTAATGATGTATAGTTGTAGATTAGGAAAAGTTAATTGCCTCTTTTATTTGCACATTCCAAATAAAGGTTTTATATTCTGGAATGTGCGTTTTTACTTTATTCCTAGAATGCCGGAATATTTAAAGCCAAATGTAGAAACCAGAGAAGGCCTAAGGCAAGCATAAGGGAGGAAATTATAAGAAGGAAGGAGGAAAGAAGGAGTGAGAAAAGAAAAGTTTGGTTGAGAGTAGTTAGTGGTTAGAGACCAGAAGACCACAAAGCAGAATGGCTGAGGGGCAAAGTGGGACATGGAAGATAAATGAGATTAATCCATTGAATTACAATATATTGGATAAAGCTACTTGGTGTTTTAAAATTTTTTAAAGTTTCATTGAGTTTAGCAATACTGGTGGACAGGGTAGCCTTTCTAAGATGTGTTTGGGAAGTCTAAGTCATTTGTGAGCCAAGTAGGAATTTTTTTAAATGACTAGTACTAACAATATCACTAAGTTTAAAATAATTGTTAAATGACTTTGCATGCAGTTATTTTTTTGTGCAAACTAAATTTTCCCATATAAATTATTACACTTAGAATTTTGTTTCTATTAATGACCTGTTTATATTACATAACTGATTAGCTTAATAGGTTTTATTCATAACCAGATATTTTCACTGTTTTTATTGATTTAGTGATATTTGCAAACAGAAGTATGTAGTATTATATCCTTTCAAAATTGCTTCTTTGCAGGTAGATTCTTGATCTATCACTTCTAACAGCTGCAGATTCTTCTTGCTTGTTCCTTTTAACATTTTTCTCTTTGTTCTTCCATAGTAAACTTATTTAAAATTTTATTTCGAAGATGAATAATGACTTAATTACAAATTATAACACTTACAGATGGAAGTGGAGAACGAGGAGAAAAGGATGCCAGCAAAATCACAACATATCCGCCAGGCTCTGTGCGATTTGACTGTGAACTCCGGGCAGTACAAGTCAGCTGTGGATTTCACCATTCAGGTAGCAGCTGGAACTTTAGGGTATAACTGCATTTTTACAATTGTGCTAAACCATTTATTTGTTTAGTTTAGATAAATGTGGTTTAGTTAATTGTGTATTAAAAGCTATAGTGCTGCAGTATCTCTCAATTCTATAAAAGCTTTGTATTTATTACAAAATCCCTTTAAAAACGGTGGCATGATAGAATAAGTACTTGTCTAGAGATCTGACTTCTAGTCTGTCTTCTAATGGACTTATAATTCACTTCAGGAAAATCTTGAATATCAAATAATATCTGAAATCTCTTTGAACTCCAGAATTCTTTGATTTTTATAAATGGTCCCACATTTTGTTACTGTTCAATGAGAAATGTGCATCAACAAATTTATTTTTTTAATGTAAAAAATTAAATTCTTAGTAAAGTATTGCATTTGGGTTATATAGCTTAAGTTGTAGTATTCAACCTTTATGAAAATAAAAAATGTTAAATTCTTTGATGTTAAATATATTTCCTTACTTGATAAAACATTGACCGATATTAAAGTTTTGACATTTCATTCATGTACATAGTTGTGCAGAGCTCAGATCTCTTTGCTATCTATAGAATTATCCTAGATTTGAGAGAACAATATTTTATATGGAGTTGCTCATTATTATAAAAATTTTACTTTTGACCAAAACCAATGTTTTATTTAATATTAATGTAATTAAGTGGCATTTATAGAACTAAAATTATATTTATTTCTCATTAAATATAAATTTGTGCTTCACTTTTCTATTTTTAATTGCTCTATAAGTTTTAAAGAGCAAAAATTACACTCCCTTTAGTAGACTGTGATAGAAATATAAAATACATATAATAAGAAAAATTAAAGCTCTGTATTTTGGTTTCAGTGGTTTTAATGGAAAATGGAGATGTCTATACATTTGGATATGGCCAACATGGGCAGCTGGGACATGGCGATGTCAATTCCAGGTAGTCTAACTTGTTGGAAGAGACTGGGTTCTTTTTTTCTTTTTTCTACTTTTTTCCTTTCTTTTATCTTTTTTCCCCCTAAATATATATATTTCTGTGCTTAGAATAGTATTTGTACTACTGTTTTACCCAATGTGGCCTGCAAATTATTGATAGTTGTTGATTTTTTTGGTTGAGTGCTTTTGAAGGCGTAGATGATTTTGTAATTTCAGGAGAAAAGTTGATTTACATTTTATACATTTAAAATATGAGTGGTTATGAGTATCACAAAATCTTAATATATTCTTATTATCTTTTTAAAGGTTGTTCATAGCAATAGAAAAGACAAAGAATATCCCCAAAATGCATTTTAAAAAATTCAGTGGTGGATTCATTCATAGTCCTTGATGTTGTCTGTTTTGAAATTTTGGTCTAAAATTAACATGAAGTCATAGAAGCTGTGGAATAATTTTCAAACAAAACATAATGATCTCTCAAAGAAACTGTTTTGATTTAGCTAGAATAGTGAAGAACTAATTGTGGTAGAGATTACTAGACATTCTCTAATATCCATTCTTCCTTGCTCATTTGGTAGTAGAGTTTCAGTTGGTGACATGACCATGCAGCGAAAGACTTCATTTTCTTGCCTCCATTGCAGCAAGATAAGGCCATGTGAACTAAAGAAATGTGTGCAGCTTTGGAATCATGCTGTAAGGAAGGGGGTACACTGTAAGGAAGGGGAGTATACTTTCATTTCCCCTCTCCCTTCCTACCTTGCTGCCTGGGCTCCATACATAGTGGCAGGAACTGGAGAAGTCATCACAGTGGTCATAAGTTGGAAACTGTGTATTGAGAATGGCAGAGCTTCAAAGTACAAATAGTCTGGGTCCTTGACATCATGAAACTGCCACGTCAGCTCCTTGCAGTTGGACACTTACCTGAGAGAGAAATAAACTTTTATCTTGTTTAAATTTCTATTACTTTAGCTTTTATTACAGCAGTTGAATACCTGTCCTGTTTAATATAGTGAGAGTGCTTTTGGTCAAAAGTATAGAAAATCCATCTTTATTAGTTCAGGTCTTCCAAGAAAATATAAGACAGATTAGATGTGAAAAGGATTTATTGAGAGAAAACTTGTATGAAAAATAAAAGGGAAAAGAGCAGGAATTGGCAGGGAAACCCTTCAGACACAAGATAGGTCTGATCTCTGTGAAAAGAAAGAAGGATGGAGTAGGAAAAGTCTGGATTCCAGTGCAGTTCTGAGTAAGTTTCAGCCAGGCCAGTGGGGTGTCCTCAAGCCAAGGTTGCCTTTGGGAGAGTCCCAAACAGGGCAGGATGGGCTGTAGTAATACCTTTATACCATGCTCAGTCACAGGCTGTTGGCATCCCAGGGAAAGAATGGCCTCGCAGACCCAGAGGAACAGCATCTGAGGCTCAGTCAACTCTGCTCCCTGCAGCAGGTTGTCTTGAAGATCTGAGCAGTCCATGTGTATGGCTGCCCACCATTGAAACAAGGCTTATCTATCAAGTCTGGAGATATGTAGGGCAGTTCAGGCTGGACTTGCTTCATTAATTCAGTTTGCCATAAGAACCTTCTTTCTTTTGTCTTTTCACTCTGCCTTATTCTCCTTTGTCGTCATAAGGTATCTTCCAGAATTAACTGGACCTGTAAGGTTTCTTATTCACATAAAATGAATTATTCTAATTGTTAAATAAAATCCGGTATTTTCACTTTTTGAAACCATTCCATTACTGTGGCAAGGATAGAATAATGCCATTTATATCATAAAGGCCAGTGATTCTTAATCCTAGCCGCACGCTGGAATTACTTGCGGAACTTCAGAAATACCACGTCTGGATTCTACATCTAGAACTTCTGAGAGAAATGTGTTTAGGTTGAGGGGTGGTATTGGAGACAGCAAGGGTAGTGCTGGATAACGATCTTCTGAGTATGTTTAATAGCTTGAATTGATCATTTTCATGAAATATGATATTTTTTAATGTTGAAAATAAAATATTAGGGTTTCTTAAGACAATTAAATTCTGATGGGATTTGCTTTAACTTCCTAAAGTTGTTATTTCCCAACATGTAAATTTTCACTCCTGTTCCATTGGTCGAGTTGTAACCAGAAGACTTTTGAGTATGCCTGATGGATTAAACAAAATTAGTTAAAACCGTTTCTGCTATAACTACTCAAGTTACCTTGTTTGTCTGGATCTATTGGGACTTGGAAGACAGGAGTCATGAACCATGTTACGAATTCAGAGGGAATCGACCACTTAGATGGAAGAACAATCCCAGAAATAACAAAGACCGTATAACATGCATATTAACTACCACAAAGTAAAACATTGATAGGTAGTTACTTGAAATAAAGTGTATAGCTGGAGGGTATTTTTTAAAAGTTTCTAGTAATCAAGTGCTTTTAACTGGAATTTATTGTATAGCACATATTAATGATGTGTGATTTGTGTGAGATAAATATTGTAGTGTGCATGATGATAAAGATAGAAAAATGTTATTGATATTCTCTTTATGTAATGTGTTGTCTTGCCAGGATGACTGAGTTCAGTCTCTGGTTTGGGTCCTGATTCTATCACTTGGTACCTCTATGTCCCTGGCTAAGTTACTTAACTTTCCTGTGTCTCAGTTTCTTTCTCTATCAAATGTGAGTAAATATATTTCCCGCAAAGGGTGGTTGTGAAAATTCGGTGAGATGCTGCATGTTATTTACTTAACAGAGGGCGTAGCCCACAGTAATAAAGGTTAGTTATTACTATTGCTGCTTTTAAAAGTGAATGTCAAAAGTTTGAAGGCTTTTACACATTCACTTGTGACATGAGTCCACCAACCCTCCTTTCTGTTTATTTTGTTCAATATGCTCCTAAATTTCCAGATTTCAAATTCTTTTACTATTTACAATACACTTAAACCTGGATGTTGGGAAAGAGACCATGTAGTTTAATGCTTTTATTCTCCTTTTTCCAATAGATTTTTGCTAATTCTTATGTTTCTGAGTTTCATCTTTTTCTTGCTATACTATCCTGCTATACCATCATTGTGTCTGGAACAAGACAGGGTTTAAATCTTTGCTTCATCTCTTACAACTATGTGACCATAATTTACTAAGCTTTAATTTAAATATTGTTGAAGAATTAATATAGTTTATGTAAAGTGCCTGGCATGCACACATGTATACACACATTTTTGTTTCCTGTTCTTCCTATGTTTTCCAAATAATTTAATAAATGGGCTCACTAGTGTCATGGAAAGAGTTCAAAGACTGTATTAGAAGACGTGTCACCAACTCTTGGGAGAATCCGTTAAGCTGTTCAGATCTACCCATAGAGTTATTTTGATAATCAGTGATACATTTTATGTGGAAGTGCTGTGTGAACCGCAGACAAGTAAACATTTATGGATCTTTCTTCTTTGATTCTTTGTTTGAGTTGTATTGGACATTTCTGTGAGGGCATTAGTTCACCATACAGACTTTTGAAGTGGCAATTGTTCATTTGCCAAAATTCCCTGTACTTCAGCTTTGAGATCCACTTACCTTCACTGTGCCTTATTACTCCATTCTCAAAATAAAAATAATAACAATATTGCTCTTTTGAGGCATGCCATTCTGCTCTCCTCCCCTTTTATTACCTCCCTTTCAGTAACTGCTTTTCATTCTTTGAAAATTTAATATCTGCTTTATAGTATTTTCTCACTCTGAGTCTTGTCTCACTTGAGTGACTTAAGTATCCATGTAAATGGCCTCATGCAGTATACTTGTCTGACATTCTCATATCTAGTCACCTTTACTTCCACGTTCATGGTGGTGGTTCCCAGGAGCCATCCTGGATCTAGCATACCTCCAACTAGAATTCTTAAGTTTAAACAACCCATGATCCGATAACAATTTCATCTGTTACTTAGCTTTACTTGGCCTTTGACTTGATCAGTACTTCATTCCCTCTTGCCCTCTACTTTTTTACTCTTTCACCCTTTTCACTTTATGTCCTGCCCAAGTTA